TTTAAATCTTTCAGTGTTATCTGCTGGTATTACTGCATTGCTGTGGACATGTCTAAGGCCAGTCTGATACTTTTTACTTGAAGTTGATTTGCATTTTCTCCCTGAATGCTTGAAGAATTCTCTATTTATCCTTAAAGATAAATAGCCTAACTAGGATGTGTCTTGGGGTTTTGCATTCTGAATAAAAATTTCCTGCTATTTTTGTCTGAAGTATCTTTTTTTTCCCCTTGATTTCTAGGAAATTCTCTTTTACATAAATGTATTTTTGTTCCATCTGTTGTGATCTCTATTCAGGGATACCAATTGTCCATATGTTGGATAATTTATCTTCCATGTCTGTTAGCATTCTTTAATTCTTGTATTTGTCCTTTTTATATTTATTCATTGTTGTTGTGATTTTCCTGTTTGTCAGTAATTCCATTCACTGGTTCGTGTTTGATTACTTGTTGTTCTAACCCATTTATTAATTCTGTAATAATACCATTTTGAATCTCACTTTGCTTTTTGCTATCTGAAATCTCCTTTTTCATCTGATTCTGTTGTTTTAGTATGTCATCTTTGGGTATTTATTGACTTTATGTCATGATGCAATTATAAGGCATTTCCTATCTTCCTTGAATTAAATATTTCCCTAGGGTGGCCCTGTTGGTCTGCATTTTGCTGCTTTTCTTCTCTTTTGTTGCTAGAAAATATTTTCACAGTAACCATGACATTTCTTTCCCTTCTGAGTATTCTTGTTGGTCTGATGTAGCTTAAGTGACTTCTCGACATTCTTCCCACTATATCTGAGACATTCATTTTCCTGTAAGAGTTACCAACTTTTCTGAATCCTGAAAGAATGCCATGGATGGAATGGGGAGGTTCAGGTGAGACAAAGTGCAATCTTTGTTACAGGACCCTCTGTCTGCTCCCCCTCCCTCGTTCTGAGAGTTAGTTTATTGCCTTAACCCAGTTGTCACTTTACCTAGTTGGGAAGTGCTTCCTATTTCCACGGGAGATACTTTGCATATTTGGACCTTCTCTCACCTCAGAATATAACATCGGGGCCTTCGCTCTGTCAGAGGGAGCCAGCCCACTGCTCACTTTCCCAGTGGCATCTGGCCAGCAGAGGTGTCAACTGCTCTTCTGTCACAAAGTACAAAGATTAAGATACCAATCTGGATTGTTTCTGTACAGATAAGAGGATATCAGGTAAAATGCTAAGGATTTTGTTACTCATACTTAAGGCTTTTGGAAGTGAGATCAGCAGGCAAGCTTTGACATATATCTCGTGCCAGAATCTTCTGTTTCATTCCGTGGTTCTTGATTTTTTTAATATATATTTCATTAGGATATGCTCCTTTCAGTAGCTGATTGCTGATGGTGAATTTTGTGTTTTTTTATTATTTTTCTCATTTTATCGAGTATTAGGTAAGAGAAATTCTGTGGAGTAGTTTTAATATGCCACAGCAATCTAGAATATATATTGTCTTTTCCTACATCCTTTTGTTGTTATACCAAGTTTTGAAAACAGTAGAGTTCAGTGGTTGCTTGGGAAGCTATAAACCATGACTCTGGGGGAGAATCAGGATGGTTAGGTAGGAAAGTACCATTTTTGGTGGGGATATAACTCTTTTCTATTTAGCAGAATTGGCTAAATGTACCACCAGTGAAAGTAAAACAAACCAGCAGTCCTGACAATAAGAGTGTAAACAGTTACTGTAATGATTGAAGGTACTCTGTCAGCCATGAGTTCAAGTGAACTCATAAACGATATATTGAGAAGTGTATCTTCAAGGAAATGTATGTTTTTTTTTCCTTGAAAATTTTACTCAAAGGCCAATGACAAGAAGCCAGATCTAGTCTCAGATTTCACAGTTACTGGGCAAGCAAGCTTTTCTACTTCTACAAACCCATGGTATTAGGTCATAAGTTCCTTGAGGCAGAGGCTCACTCGCCCATGAACCTTCGGCAATAAGCATAGTCTTTAGTACGTCATGAATGCTCAGTAGCTTTTTATAAAGAGTAAGTGAATAGCAGATCATTCTCTCCTCTAGCTTCCTTTGTTTGCTTCCTTCCGTCTACCACATATTCTCTGTTGTCCACTGTCCCAGTGCTGCTAACTAAATTGAAAGGCAGTTGGGATGCTGAGAGGTGGGAGGATGTCAAGGATAATTTTTAAGCCTGAATACCCTTTATGCTCTCCTCAAAGTCAGAGCCCATTTCATTTTGTGTTATTTATAATTTTATTATAAATAATATACAATTATATATTTTGATTAAATTGTATTATAGATTATTGAAACTATTTTCGATTATATAACCTAGAGTCATTTTAAATAAGCATATCCTGTATTATGAATAATGATTCAATGGCTATTTTAATTAAATGCACTGTAATCAATTATTATAAATTATGTATAACCTTATATAGATAATACATAATGTAAAAAGTTAATTCTAAATTAAATATAATAATGTTTAATTATATTGTCCTTAATAAAAAGATACAAGTATCCACTCAATCAGTTTAAATGAGTGCTGTTTAAATTGACATGCACAATCTTTGGTTCATCTATTCATTCATTCATTTATCCAACCAAAATTTTTTTCAATGCCTAGTGCATGTAGGTCCCTTTGCTAGGTGTTATGAAGACAGATATACACCTGATTTGGTGGTATTCTTGTTGCATACCTGCTGGTGTATTAAAACACCCCAAAAGTTGGGTTGCATTGCACACAGTGTAGATTTCAGCTGTCGCCACAAGTGGCCAAACCACACTGACCACCGCCTCTTCCCGCAGGAGAGAAGTGCCTGTCGGAGATGGCCTACGACAGCAGCACGAACTACGAGAAGGAGAACGAGATGATGTCGTCGCATGTGATGGACCAGGCCATCAACAACGCGATCAGCTACCTGGGGGCCGAGTCCCTGCGCCCCCTGGTGCAGACGCCCCCGGGGGGCTCTGAGGTGGTCCCGGTCATTAGCCCTATGTACCAGCTCCACAAGCCCCATGGGGACGGTCCCCCACGCTCCAACCACACAGCTCAGGACAGCGCCGTGGAGAACTTGCTGCTGCTCTCCAAAGCCAAGTCAGTCTCTTCCGAGAGAGATGCTTCCCCAAGCAACAGCTGCCAAGACTCCACAGACACCGAGAGCAATAACGAGGAGCAGCGCGGCGGCCTCATCTACCTGACCAACCACATCAACCCCCACGCCCGGAACGGCCTGTCCATCAAGGAGGAGCACCGGGCCTACGACGTGCTGCGGGCGGCCTCCGAGAACTCCCAGGACGCCTTCCGCGTGATCAGCCCCAGCGGCGAGCAGATGAAGGTGTACAAGTGCGAACACTGCAGGGTGCTTTTCCTGGACCACGTCATGTACACCATCCACATGGGTTGCCACGGCTTCCGCGATCCTTTTGAGTGCAACATGTGTGGCTACCACAGCCAGGACAGGTATGAGTTCTCGTCTCACATCACCCGCGGTGAGCATCGCTTCCACATGAGTTAAGCCGCTAGTCTAGAAGCAGGTGGATTGTTGGACACTCTGCTTCCAGAGGCAGGGGCCACCCTCCAAGAAAAGCACAATCACCCATGAACAGAAAATGCATAAAAGAACTGCTGCCTCCTCCCCTTCCGCCAGCAGCATGGACTGGATGATGATGTGTTTGGAGGTTGTTTTTTTTTTTTTTTTGCTGTTGTTTTGATTTTTTGTTTTTCTTCTTAAATTGGTTGAGATTTGATTTACTTTTGAAAACAGTGAGAATTTTATTGTTAGATGCAGGGTTACGTTTGGAGCACCCAGACTGTTTTCTTACTAGACATTTCCATAGATGGCTAGCTGAACCCCTTCATCTCTTGTTCTATAATTCCCCTCCTCCAAACAATTGGTCGTAGGAAAATGGCGAAAGCCTGGGAAGCAGTGTGCTGGTTCCGGTGCTAAGCACAGGATTCACGCACTCTGTGAGCATTCCAAGTGTCCATCAGCAGTGAGCGCAGCACAAAATGTGTAGCACTGCACAGAGCAAGCACTGCAGGTGAGCAGGCAGGAAGTGAGACTCCCTGGGAGGTGCCCGGCTGAGAGGGCTGGCCTGGAAAGGGAGCTGAGGCCACAGCATCAGACCCCATGAGTCTGGGGCTGAAAGCTGCTCTTTTTAAAAGAAAACATTGTTTTAAGTCACTTTCTGCATAAGAAAATAAATTGTTTGGGAAAAGTTGTGTCTCAGGCTGCCTTGGGCAAAAAGGGAGGGTTTGGAGTCCTTTAGACTCTTTAGATCTTCAAGGTTCTGAGGTGTTTCTCAGATGACTGCCAAGCCTCCTGAGCTTTGTTGCCAAGTCGGATGAACTCAGTATTCATGTGCACATACCTGCAGGCCCCTGTCCTCTGCTTCTCCTCCCCATGTCTTTACTGCCTGAAAAAGTCTATCACTACATCTACACCACCAGTCCAGAAATTTGGACATTAATTCTTGTTGAACTACTCAAAGTGTCAAATGCCTCAGAAACCAAAGCTTTATTCCAAATTCCACACTCATTTCTTTGGCTTTACATTCCTTCTCTGGCTGGTCCTACCTAAGACCATAAGCACGTGTTCCTGCAGAAGTCCGGACCTCACCCTCCTAACCTTCGTTTTAATAAAGTGCATATTCTGTTCGTAGCCACCAGCCTGGATTTCTTAGGATCGGTAAATTTATTTCCGTACCCCCACTCTGTGTTTTTCTTGTTTTAAAACTCATAAAAGAATGACTTAAAATGACCGTTAAATTTTCAGATCAATGAAATATGACAAGTGAAGCCCAGCATCTCCATTGCTAACCCACAGCACTTACCTGTTTGAAACTAAGCTAGAAAACATCCCAAACACTCTCTAATATAAAGACAAAGTAGCACACATGTGCCCACTTAAGATGCATGGCCCTGCATCCTTTGCCATTGCAGAGACTCAGTGTACGGACGGAGCAGTCATATGGCCTGTCCCCACAGGGTGATGCCCAAAGGGTTTAACATGACAGGAAGGAGGCAGGTGATGCTGCGGGGAGAACTCTTCCTGTACATGCTAAGGCAGTTGAATGCATCTCTGAAGCCTAAATAAGGTGTTTTGGGATTCTAATCCCAACCAGCAAGGGTCTCCCTCATGGTTAATCCTATCTTTATTATTAAGGTCATTCATCTCAACCACCTAGGCAAGGAAGAGCATAAAATTTCAAGTGCATACAGTGCTTGTCTTCACTAAACATGTCCCAAGGTGAACATGAAGGAACATAGAGAAAAAATTGTACATAAGCATTGGAGAGTTTAGAGAGCAGCATTTAATCTCTATCAGGATTTCTTTAGTCTCACCGTTATTAACATTTGGGGCTGGATAATTCTTTGTTGTAGGGTGCTGTCCTGTGCATTGTAGGATGTTTAGAAGCATCCTTGGTCACTTCCTGATAGATGCCGGTAGCACCCCCAGTTGTGACAACCAAACGTGTCTCCAGAAATTGCCAAATATCCCTTAGGGGGCAGAATGGCACCTGCTTGAGAACCACTGATCTAACTGAATTCTAACCCAATTAAAGATCTGGAAAATCTTCACCAAAAAATAAGACTACACGAACTATCTTCCCAGTCTTCAAGCCTGACTTGTGTTTCTCTGGAATCATTATAAATTTTATCAATGGATTACTTCCCTCCAGTCTTCAGAAGTATGCCTCCTCCAGTACACTTGAGTTTTGTAGAAGGGACAGTGTTCACAAAGATACAACTCTTCAGTCATGGATTTCTTTGCTTATAGAATGGTGTGACATTTTGAAACTGGAAATAAACAAAATTATAATAATTTATATTGTGGCACACCAGTGCACTGAGTGAAGGAAGAGAGACAGGAGCTAAAGCTGTCAGTAGCTTTAGTTCAGTATGCAATTACAGAGAAAGATATGCCTTATCCAAATTAATGTATTCAAAGTGAGAGCCTCCTTTGATTTCTGGTTAGTTAGCAAATTTCATATACGCTGTTCTTTTATATCTTTCCCACGGAGTCAGTTGGTCGAAGCCAGTTGTTTTGTCCCGTGTCATTCAAACAGAGCTTAAACCAGAACTGTAAATAGTGGCTACAGGAATTCTTTTCTAAAATTCTTTCCCCCTTCCTTCTCGTGGTCTTTTAGAGCCCATGTAAATGTCTCTTTACACACCTTTTGTTGTGGTTTTATATTGTAACACCATTTTTCTTTGAAACTATTGTATTTAACATAAAGGTTTCATACAATGTCAACCAGTAATTAAATTATGTTTGAAAGGTGGCCATATTCTGTACCATAAGTTGTTAAAACGTTTTTGTTGTAGCTGGTAAAAGTAGGATTTTGCATGACTTCACGCCTTTTTGTTCTGTGGTTTGTTTTGTTGTGTGATGGTTTGAGCGTGTGTCTCGGGTACCCCCGTGTAATGAGATGTGCATAGATTTCTTGCACACTCATTGTGTTAAAATAAATACCAGAGAAAGGAGGTTTCAGAGGAACAGGTTGACCTGTTGATTGCAATTAGAAATGACTGTTTTTTGTTCCTTCCCCTCCGCTGTCACCCCACCGTCTAACAACGTGGTAAGCTTCAACACCTGCTCCCTACCCTGAGTCCTTTTGTAATGTGTAACTTAGAGCGTGTGAGTGTCCTAGTTGAAGAGTCTTGCATTAGCACTGAAGGAAGTGTCCCAGCACCAATCACTTCAGATACCAGCATGTGCCATTTAGAGTTTAGAATCAACCCCATAATGAAATTTCAGACTCTTCACTGAGAAAAAGAGAGCTACCTGTTAGGGAGATGTGGATTTTTTTTCTTTTTTCTTTTTAGTCTTGTGCTTTTTTCTCCTTTCGTTTTGTTTTGCTTTGACTACATTGTGACTCTCATAGTATTGTCTTCTTACCAAGACAAAAGAGAGATGAAATGGACATACATACAAATCATGAAGCAAATATATTTCTCTATTCTTCACTTCTTAAGTTCCAGCAATAATGAAAGGTCAACTCTATTTGAAGTCCAGAAGTCTATCATTCATTTAAATTTTTTTTTTTTTTTACTTTAAGGTGAACCAAGATTAGACTTATTTAAGATGTACAGGCAACAGAAAAAGAAGCACATATGCTATTGGTACAATAGCATTCACTGTGAACACATGTAACCAGATATTAATATGCAATATTGTTCCAATACTTTCTAAAACATTTTTTTTATAATGTTGTGTGTGGTGATTGTTAAAGTTGAATTTGTTTATATCCAGTACAGCTTTAGGTCTTCAATTGCCTTTTTTTTTGGCAAGTACATGTACAGGACTGTAAATGAGAAAAATGCAGAAAATGTATTTCCAATCTGCTTCTATGATTATGTTAAATTATTTCTGTTTAGCTGTGAACACAGGATGTGCAACTGGAGTAATAGAGTATCCTTTTGTACACATTTTGAAATGCTTCTTCTGTAGTGATATAACAAATAAATGCACTGAATACTCTGCCTGCCCTCTCCTCTGGAGTGCATGCTAGTATGCAAAATGCCCCTACAGAGCAGGAATCTGCTGTAGACACCGTCCCAGTCAGATCCCAGTATGCGAGGAAGAGCAGAGATGAGTCGTGGGACAGGGGAGAGATGAACTGATCCCAGCACAGCAATTCTGTTCAGCAGACTGACCACCTCCTATCTGTAATGATGCTGGGCTTGGGAATATTAAGACACAGTCTTTGACCTCAAAGGGTGGATTGGAGGGTGGGTGGAGATAGAATGCAACGAATGCAACAAGAAATGCATTTACAGCTCTTCACAATGCAATGTAGCAATACCACAAGTGTCATGGGCCCATGGCTGCAGGCACAGAGGACAGAGCGTACATGCCAGGTCACACACCGGCCTTCACTCTCTCACCCCGGGGAGCTGCTCTCTTACCTGGGCTCCTCCCAATGCCATGAGGCTCAGCTCAACTCTGCTTCAGAACTGCACTATTGCAATCCCCTCTGTGGGGAAAACCTTTATCTCTTTTGGATAAATAAACAGGCATCATCTGGATTCAGATCTAGTAAATGAGGGAAGATTTGCATGGTACAACATTTGGTCCTAACCAGGTGAAACTTCGATGAAATAAACAGATTTTGTCATCTTTCACACCTAGCCTTGATATCAGTTCCCAAAGAGGGCTTTCAAAACATATCTTTTGCCAAGGCAGCATCTTTCGAAGAAGTTTTCAGCTTCTTTAGGTTACTTCACTGGAGAAGCATGTCATATAGATAGATAGATAAGATAGATGATGGATCTCACAGCCATTTAAAAATCGGTGTCACCATTTCACAGATATGCCTTACATATTTCTCAGTGATCATAGGTCAAAGAATAAGGAATATCTACACTCACTTTAAAATAATCTGGGATCAAACTAAGAGAAAGTAATTCAGAAGGGTAAGGGCTTGACCGTAAGAGTGAAAAACTTGTTTGTATATTTGTAAAACTATATGATACGGCTTAGCAACTCAGTGTCTTATGAAGCTTAATATTTATCAGAGGAATCGTGAGAAAAGGAGTCGCATGCACAGATCACTCCCAGGCTGCCATGACTCCAGATTGAGCACTGGCATGTCAAAGAGCTCAACATAGAGACCACAGAGTTAGTGACTGGTAAGGGCAAGAATTCAGAACTCTTTTAAGAGCCATGGGTAGGATGCACTTGGTTTTCACTGTTTTTATATTAACCATAATACCATAAACCAGTTCCACCAGTTGCTGTGGAGTCAATGTGTCAGAGTAGAGCTGTGCTCCATAGGGTTTTTACTGGCCGAGCTTTCAGAAGTAGGCCTTCAGGCATTTCTTCCAAGGTACCTCTGGGTGAACTCGAATCTCCAACCTTTCAGTTAGCAGCTGAGCACATTAACTACACCATTAACTACACCAGCCAGAGTCTCCTCAGTAATCATAGGAATGATTACTCTAGACATAGCCTTTTGATGCTGTGAACCTTCAGTATTCATTTTACTTTCTTCTGGTTTCCTGCAAACTCCTGATGAAAGTTAACAGTCTATCTGCTCAGTGCACCCAAATGGACTGGCCCACCTCTAGGGAGGCTAAAATGAAAGGATACTGCCTTCATACGGTGACTGTGAGAACCAGCGTGGTTCACAATCACAACTGGGATGGGAGGAGTCAAGATTTCACTGTGTCTAGGCTGGAGGACAGGAGTGGATTTCAGGTGGAACACACCAAGGCAAGAAGAGCCTGGTGGCAGGCAAGGAAGGCCCCAGAAGAAGCTGCATAGATGGAATCCTACTCCCTGCCACTGTTCCAAGAACAGCCTGAAGCAAACCCTGAACAATCTGGAGCACTCAGTTACCTCATGTTTCTCCTTCAGGCAGCCTTCGATTGTTGCCAACTTGTGTCTTATCCTTCTCTGCTGGAAATGGCAGCTCTTCTTCATCTCACTTTTATTCCTGATGATTGGCATAAATTTAAAAGTTGAGCATATTTTAAATGTTAGTCTAGAATTTGGGATTGAAAGCTAAAGATTAGAACTGGGGGCTCGGAAACCAAAGATCCCTGGTCCCTTTTCCAATCAGTCGTATTTTCTATCAAAATTAAATGCCTTGGAGGTTTTGTGACTCCTTGCTGAAACCTTGCGTTCTCATTTAAAGCGCACGTATTCTCAAGGAACGAAATCTCTTTGGCTGTTTCCAAAAGTCCTTTTTTTAAAATTTTTTGGCCTTTCAACACCAAACCCAGAGGTAGGCACAAAGAAGCCACTCAAAGAATTGAGCCTCAGAGACTGACAGGAAGTTCTCAATCACCCAAGCAGGAACTCCATGTTCCTCTGTATCATGGTGCTGCCAAGCCCAGGGTGCCCGTCTGAACCAGTCTGGCATTTCCCTGCACCAGACCCAGAGCAGCACTCAGATGCCACAGCTCCCATACAAGGTGAAGCCAGAATGTTCCCTTATCTACCCATCCTGTCTTCTCAGCCTATTCACAAATAAACCACCCCTCACTACCTCTAAAGAAGTCCCTGGGTGTTGCAAACAGTTAAACATTTGGCTACTAACCGAAAGGTTGGCGATTTGAATTCACCCAGAGATGCCTTGGAAAAAAGGCCTGGTGATCTACTTTCAAAAGAGCATGCCATTGAAAATTTCACCATTTGTCTGTCAGTTTTTCATACCATGGTGGCTTGCATGTTGCTGTGATGCTGGAAGCTATGCCAACGGTATTTCAGATACCAGCAGGGTCACCATGGTAGACAGGTTTCAGTGGAGCTTCCAGACTAAGACAGACTAGGAAAAAGGAACTGGCAAATCTATTTCTGAAAAAAATTGGCCAGTGAAAATGTTATGGGTAGCAGCGGAATATTGTCTGATAACAGTGCCGGAAGATGAGTCCCTCAAGTTGGAAGGCTCTCAAAATATGACTGGGGAAGAGCTGCCTTCTCAAAGTAGAGTTGACCTTAATGATGTGGATGGAGTAGAGCTTTCGGGACCTTCATTTGCTGATGTGGCACGACTCAGAAGAATCAGTTAAAAACATCCATCATTAGTAATCAGAATGTGGAATGTATGAAGGATGAATCAAGAAAAATAAGAAGTTGTCAAAAATGAAATGGAATGCTTAAAGATCGATGTCCTAAGCATTAGTGAACCGAAATGGCCTGCTGTTGTCCATTTTGAACTGAACAATTGTATGGTCTACTAGGCCGGCAATGAAAAATTGAGGAGGAATGGCATTGCATTCATCATCAAAAAGAACATTTCAAGAATTATCCTGAAGTACAACACTGTCAGTGATAGGATAATATTCATATGTCTACAAGGAAAAGGAATTAATATGACTATTATTCAAATTTAGGCACCAACCACTAATGTCAACGAGGAAGAAATTGAAGATTTTTACCAATTTCTGCAGTCTGAAATTGATCAAACATGCAATCAAGATGCATTGATAATTACTGGGAAAGCTGGAAACGAAGAAGGATCAGTAGTGCCCATTCCAAAGAAAGGTGATCCAGTGGGATGCAGAAATTATCAAACAATATCATTGATATCACATGCAAGTAAAAATCTGCTGAAGATAACTCAAAAACCATTGCAGTAGTACATCAACAAGGAGCTGCCAGAAATTCAAGCCAGATTCAGAAGAGGATGTGGAATGAGGGATATCATTGCTGATGTCAGATGGATCCCAGCTGAAAGCAGAGAATACCAGAAAGATGTTTACCTGTGTTTATTGACTATGCAAGGGCATTCGACTGTGTGGATCATAACAAATTTATGGATAACATTGCAAAAAATGGGAATTTCAGAACACTTAATCGCGCTCATGCAGAACCTGTACATAGATCAGGAGGCAGTCATTCACACAGAACAAGGGGATACTGCATGGTTTAAAATCAGGAAAGTTGTGTGTCAGGGTTGTATCCTTTCTCCATACTTAGTCTGTATACTGAGCAAATAATTCAAGAAGCTGAACTATATGAAGAAGAATGTGGCATCAGGATTGGTAGAAGACTCATTAACAGCCTACGATATGCAGATGACACAACCTTACTTGCTGAAAGCAAAGAGGACTTGAGGCATTTACTGATGAAGATCAAAGACTACAGCCTTCAGTATGAATATACCTCAACATAAATACAACAAAAATCCTCACAACTGGACCAGTAAGCAACGTCATGATATATGGAGAAAATACTGAAGTTGTCAAGGATTTCATTTTACTTGATTCCACAAACAACACCCATGGAAGCAGCAGTCAAGAAATCAAATGACATATTGCATTGGGCAAATCTGCTGCAAAAGACCTCTTTAAAGTGTTGAAAAGCAAAGATGTCACTTTGAAGACAAAGGTGTGCCTGACCCAAGCCATAATATTTTCAGTTGCCTCATATGCATGTGAAAGCTGGACAATGAATAACGAAGACCTAAGAATTGGTGCCTTTGAATTATGATGTTTGTGAAGAATAATGAATATACCATGGACTGCCAGAAGAACAAACAAATCTGTCTTGGAAGAAGTACAGCCAGAATGCTTCTTAGAAGCGAGGATAGCGAGACTTCATCTCACGTACTTTGGACACGTTATCAGGAGGGACCAGTCTCTGGAGGACATCATGCTTGGCAAAGTAGAGTGTCAACAAAATAGAGGAAGACCCTCAATGAGATGGAATGACACAGTGGCTGCAACAATGGACTCATAGCAACAATTAAGAGGATGGTGCAGGACTGGGTAGTGTTTTATTCTATTGTACATAAGGTCACTATGGGTCAGAACGGTCTCAATGGCACTAACAACAACAACACTGAAAACCTATGGAGCACAGTTCTACTGTAATGCATATGGGTTGCCATAAGTCGGGTTGACTTGATGGCAACTGGTTTAGTTTGGGTTTGGTTAACTGTCTCTAAAGGGGAAGAGAGGCATTCTGTTTGGCTGCTGGGGTGACAGGGTCAACAACACCACTTCCACACTTGCCAGCCTAGGCTCCTGTCC